TACATAATAGGCTGTTTCCTCATCTCCCAAGTCTACATCTTCAAAGCCTTCGTCTTCTTTGCCAATGTTATAAGCTTCTTTTCCTAGTTAACGAAGATTCATGCCGTAATTCTGAATGATCATATGAATTTTTCTATCCCAGGGGCATTAAAATACTCACACTTCTATGGCAATCAGTTTTGGTTGAAATCTATCAGCTCCGGATCTTGAGACTTTCTCACAATTTAGACTCGAGGTTTCTCTCAATAAACTGAAAATTGAAATCATTATATAGAATCGAGTTTAGCATAAAACTTACAACATATTTCATTACCTTTCATCCAACCTTTCAACGCCTGCGGTTAGTATTTGGAGTTTAGACACCTTCACTGTGTTGGTACCTTCAGTGTTCACTTTCAAAATGACTTATGCTTCCTTAGAGCACTCGCACAATAAGGTCCGACAAAACTCTTCAAGAGATGCTATCACCAGGTATATCGCTCCCTGCGATTCCTGGTCTTTCAAACCCTTTATTTCAGTAAAATCACTGTTGTGCCTCCAGGGTTTAAGGAGCATAGAGGAATCGTAGCATGTAAAGCTCCTATAGACAAAGTGTTCTTCAAGGCAAGCCTCCAGAAGAAAACTCTAGCTCTTGAACCTTGGGCTCTTTCATGCATAGCTCCTTGGTTTCTCTCTTCTTTTCTTTCTTTTTTTCCTCCCTCTTCAACTTGTGTATGTAACCCCAAGGCTTGCCCAATCACGTCCCTTGATAGTCAGGTATTGGAGACAAACCACAAATTTTGGACCTGTTTTGAAGCCTCATCCACAACGGATTTACCGATACAAAACTAGAGTTTACAAATGTATTCAACCAAATCTTCTCCCAACAGCAAGTGCTGGATGAAAGAAATAGAAGAAACCAGACTGGCACTATTTCCTAACAACCCACTATTGTCTAGAAAGGATTGGGGAGGAGTGATAGAGTAACGTGCATATATTATGCCATATCACTCTCTACATGACATAAGGATGCAATCACTGAAGGCCACATCATATACACATCATATATACAGCAGACCAAGTTTAGTTTGGACAAGTAAATAGGCTGACAGTACCATCACAATAATGCATCTAACAATTCCAAACTACGTTGCTTTCCCTAGTTTTTATATAACTGAAGCCTTCAATGCTATCACAATGAGGTCAATTTTCAACACAGCAATGTTTTCCACAATCAAACTGATCATGTGCTAGATCTCTCGAGTTACATGATTACAATATTGAGGAGGTGCAAATTTAGTTTACCAAACACCAACAAATAAAATCATGAGATTGCTGCTCATTTCATATTGAAGCATCACACAGTTTTCACGAGTTCAATCAAGCCAAGCCAATATTTGCTTTTGCAATATTTTCGAAAACATGAAAACAACAGAAATGCCCCCACTCCCAACAAACCAAGCCCCACCCAAAAAATAAATTCAGGAAAAAAAATTGGAAAATAATGCCCAGTATTAGCTTGTGACTTTGGGAAGGCCATCACAGGATCCTTAGAATTATCAAGTGATCAAGTCATCTTCAATCCACTATAGCTTCCTCGCGAGCTTGTTCTATACCTTACACAGAGTAAACGATTTAAATTCATGAATTGGCAAGCCCAACTATTTCACATATAAGAAAGAGCGGTAGCATCAGTTAGCAACCTAACAACTATCATGATTTCACCAATACCAACAAATTTTTGTTACTAATCAAATCCTAACAATGCCACATTTTTTATTCCTTCAAAAGAATACATCATATGACATGCGTAANAATTAAAAAAGAGAAATTTAGAAGATGATACAAAAATTTAGATTTAATTGAGTTAAACTATATTAAAAAAACTTATTTTGTCCTAAGTACATTTTTTTGAAAAACAATAATCATTCATTACTCCATTACTCTCTCANAAATGTAAGTGGAAATAAGGTCTTTCAATGAAGGACAACTAGAAGATAATGAAAAACATGGAATGGATGATGCCTTCAAGCATANAAATGTAAGTGGAAATAAGGTCTTTCAATGAAGGACAACTAGAAGATAATGAAAAAAATGGAATGGATGATGCCTTAAAGCAAANGTCTATCTCTCTCTCACTGATAATTTATTTTTATTTTTTCAAATGTGTAAATATTTGATTCAATTTTTTCATCTCTCTCCCTTTATTTTCAATAACACAATTACACCAATTAGTTACAATTACTCTACAATATATCAAACAGTTACATATGTATTACAATAAACTAAACAGTTACACCAAATAATTACAGAAAATTACAATACCAACTCAATTTGTCATTTAACTGTTTACATAAACTAAAGAGTTACACTATTTATTATTATGACATGGGTTACACTAATTATGTATACTAAATTGAGTTTGTCATTACACAAAATAATTTATCATTACACTATAATTGGTGTAATCATGTCGTAAAACTAAATGATGTAATTCTTTAGTTTATCTAAACACCCGAATGACAAATTGTATTAGTGTTGTAATTTTGTGTAATTATTTGGTGTAATTGTTTGGTTTATTATAACACATAAACTAAAGAATTTATGTTGTAATTTTGTAACTGATTGATATAACTAATTATTGTAATTGTATTATTATTATGTTGATATAAAAAGAAAGAATAAGGAGAGAGAGTAATAGGGAAGAAAATTGAGGGAGAGAGAGTGGGGGGAGAGAGAGGAAAAAAACAAATTTTTACATATTCAAAAAGGTAATAAATTATCAATGGGAGGAAGGTAGAAAAAAAAATATGGGAGAGATAGAGCAAATAATGGAGAGAGAGAGTAACAGTGTGAGAAATAGGAAGAGAGATAAACTGAAAGAAAAAAAATTATGCATAATTTAGAAAATGGTAGTAAGTAAAAAAAATTCAAATGTCATTTAAATTATGTACTTAATCACAAAATATTTTATTAAAATTGAGTTTAATAGAGTAAAATACTTATCCACACTTCTTCTCAAATAAGTCAAAAAATGTACCCACACCCACAAAATCAATTAAAAAACTAGTCATTTTAACAATCTAAGCAATTACAACAATTCTTTGAACGCTTTAGGATTGAAAATGTAAATCTCCATCAAGTTACACTTACTAATTCATTAAAGCAACCTTACATTTTCCATTTTCAGCTAGACTGACTCCTCTTATAGCTCTTCTTGGTAAACTGCTTGTAGCTCGCATGACATTTTCGAATCACACCATCTTAAGCAGGGGACAATTAAAAGCAAGCCATGGTGCTCAAAGCATCGAAAATTGTGACTTCTGTACCTTTACAATTTTCTTGTCAATTTTGGTTGAATCCTTGATATATTTTCAGCCTTGCTTTTATATATATCAGAATCAATCTTTCCTTGAAACCTAAGGTTTAGCTCTACCTTTAAGATTTTGTTCTGAATTTTCTTACATAATAGGCTGTTTCCTCATCTCCCAAGTCTACATCTTCAAAGCCTTCGTCTTCTTTGCCAATGTTATAAGCTTCTTTTCCTAGTTAACGAAGATTCATGCCGTAATTCTGAATGATCATATGAATTTTTCTATCCCAGGGGCATTAAAATACTCACACTTCTATGGCAATCAGTTTTGGTTGAAATCTATCAGCTCCGGATCTTGAGACTTTCTCACAATTTAGACTCGAGGTTTCTCTCAATAAACTGAAAATTGAAATCATTATATAGAATCGTGTTTAGCATAAAACTTACAACATATTTCATTACCTTTCATCCAACCTTTCAACGCCTGCGGTTAGTATTTGGAGTTTAGACACCTTCACTGTGTTGGTACCTTCAGTGTTCACTTTCAAAATGACTTATGCTTCCTTAGAGCACTCGCACAATAAGGTCCGACAAAACTCTTCAAGAGATGCTATCACCAGGTATATCGCTCCCTGCGATTCCTGGTCTTTCAAACCCTTTATTTCAGTAAAATCACTGTTGTGCCTCCAGGGTTTAAGGAGCATAGAGGAATCGTAGCATGTAAAGCTCCTATAGACAAAGTGTTCTTCAAGGCAAGCCTCCAGAAGAAAACTCTAGCTCTTGAACCTTGGGCTCTTTCATGCATAGCTCCTTGGTTTCTCTCTTCTTTTCTTTCTTTTTTTCCTCCCTCTTCAACTTGTGTATGTAACCCCAAGGCTTGCCCAATCACGTCCCTTGATAGTCAGGTATTGGAGACAAACCACAAATTTTGGACCTGTTTTGAAGCCTCATCCACAACGGATTTACCGATACAAAACTAGAGTTTACAAATGTATTCAACCAAATCTTCTCCCAACAGCAAGTGCTGGATGAAAGAAATAGAAGAAACCAGACTGGCACTATTTCCTAACAACCCACTATTGTCTAGAAAGGATTGGGGAGGAGTGATAGAGTAACGTGCATATATTATGCCATATCACTCTCTACATGACATAAGGATGCAATCACTGAAGGCCACATCATATACACATCATATATACAGCAGACCAAGTTTAGTTTGGACAAGTAAATAGGCTGACAGTACCATCACAATAATGCATCTAACAATTCCAAACTACGTTGCTTTCCCTAGTTTTTATATAACTGAAGCCTTCAATGCTATCACAATGAGGTCAATTTTCAACACAGCAATGTTTTCCACAATCAAACTGATCATGTGCTAGATCTCTCGAGTTACATGATTACAATATTGAGGAGGTGCAAATTTAGTTTACCAAACACCAACAAATAAAATCATGAGATTGCTGCTCATTTCATATTGAAGCATCACACAGTTTTCACGAGTTCAATCAAGCCAAGCCAATATTTGCTTTTGCAATATTTTCGAAAACATGAAAACAACAGAAATGCCCCCACTCCCAACAAACCAAGCCCCACCCAAAAAATAAATTCAGGAAAAAAAATTGGAAAATAATGCCCAGTATTAGCTTGTGACTTTGGGAAGGCCATCACAGGATCCTTAGAATTATCAAGTGATCAAGTCATCTTCAATCCACTATAGCTTCCTCGCGAGCTTGTTCTATACCTTACACAGAGTAAACGATTTAAATTCATGAATTGGCAAGCCCAACTATTTCACATATAAGAAAGAGCGGTAGCATCAGTTAGCAACCTAACAACTATCATGATTTCACCAATACCAACAAATTTTTGTTACTAATCAAATCCTAACAATGCCACATTTTTTATTCCTTCAAAAGAATACATCATATGACATGCGTAAATGTAAGTGGAAATAAGGTCTTTCAATGAAGGACAACTAGAAGATAATGAAAAACATGGAATGGATGATGCCTTCAAGCATATTCAGTGCAACCTTATACTCATAGTTAAGTTTAGAATAGAGACATACTTAACACAATATGAGAGAGGCAAAGAGAGGCTTAACTTACCCAACCTCTCACTATCAACTTGTATTTATAGTTACCGAACAAACATACTAAAGACAAGTATACCTTCTGTGAGGTATACATATTACAATAAGTGTAAACCCTAATAATATTATAGTAATACTCTCAACACACACCAAGGCATGGCAGGTGGAAGTAGACACCAATTCTTACCACCACTTTTTCACTATCAACTTTCAAAAAACCTGCATAACAATGTCTCTCTTCTTTGTAGGTAGACACACATGACTTCATTAAACAAGATTCACTTTAAACCTCAAGCAGAAAAAGATACTACTATGCATTATGCGGGACAACAAAGACATACTTCACCTATAGAAACCTGAGCTACACCTACCATATTTAATAGCCAATTAGCAATGTTATCCAATTTGTATCTTATGATGTGAACATGAATAATTCCACAATAGTATTTCCTCAGATTAGAAATGAAGCTTTATCCTAGCATCTTAGCAGAAACAATAGGGAGGGGGGTTTTGGGGGGCATGGGTGCGATGAGAAGGGGAGATGCCAAGGAGAAGAGTAAAAAATTTATCATAAGGCCAAATTCGGGGAAGAAATAATGTTCATATTCCTTCTTGTTTCTTATTTCTTTGACTACTATATAACAAAAAGGGTAGTTGCAAAGAGAGATAATTGCATCATCATGATCCACCTAATATTTTTTCCCCGTGTGAGAAGTATGGGGGCTAAAAAGGATAAATTTATTCATGATATATGTCACCTTGGTCACGATGTAGTACCAAACCACTCAACTTATTCTTTAAGTACAGCAACTATCTCAGACGTGTTATTCTAGTCCAAGTCCCCCCAGATTTCTCAACCAAACAAAGCTTCGGAAAGAGCATCTATAATTAGACTATCAAAATCCAATTGGAAATTTGGTTGATGGAAGAAAAGGGTGTCTTTTCTATCGCTACATATGTTTTGCTCCAGAAAGTAGAACGGGGAATTCCGTTTCAAAGAAGATAGATGATTACTTATTGCTTGAAAGTCAACCTCAACTTCCTGTTGTTTCACTAACCAAAACTGACTTTCACTAACGCTTGATGGTGCGAACTAAACGAAAACTCTCGCTACAGTCTGCAGCACCTGTCGTGGGCTCTAGTTACTATTGACCACTAACTTGTTTATTTGGTGGTAACTTTGCCGTTAGTTAAAGGAAATAGCCCAATTAAAATAAAGAAATAAACAATATTAAGAAATAAGAACCAAATGAGGTAAAGCAAATAGAAGAACCTACATGAAAAGAACACACTTGGCTTGGAAATGTGAATATTGACTGAATTCAAGAAAAAAATGTCATAGAAAAAGAATGTAGTTTTACCAGCTTAACATTTCTTCCTGAGGAAGATTTCGACTGTAGAAAGGAAACTCAAAGAGGAATGTTGTTTTGAACCATGACGGCAAGCTTCCATACACTTCAGGGGGCAGCAGAATCAAAGGACTGGAATATTTGACTTTGTCAACAATGCTTCTCTCTTCCACAATAATTTAGGAAAAAAATAAGCTCAAAATTTGACAAAATCTAACCTCGTCGTTCTTTTATAATGCCTATATCCTGCTACATTGCCAAACTTCTTATCCGCTGAATCCTGTTTCCACAAATGTTTTACAAATATGAGTGCAATTTCAGACGCATGATAGTGGTATGCATCATAAGAGTTAAAAAGCTATGAAATGTAAACCTCAAGCATTGGGACACCACTGAGAAAGAGAAGCAACAATGTAAGTAAAATTGGCCCAAAGACGACAAGCCACTCGGCACCTTCAAGCACAGGAGTTGAAGCCACAAAGATTCCCCACCAAAGAAAGATCTGGAAACAGCACAAGTCAAACTTCCTCGTGTTTTTTAAGAGAATGTAATCAAGAAAGGGTGTGTATTAAATGTTGCAAGATGAAGCAAGACTTCCTTTATATGAATGCATGAAATATAAAAGCAAAATTTCTATTACATGAATGCATAAAATATGCAAGAGTGTAAAAGTTACACGACAAGAATGAAGCCTATGTGTTTTGTGGACCAAAATGAACCCAAACTCGATAATGAAGAGGACACACCTCCCACTACTGCAGCAGCTGACATCCACCACTGGCACAAACAGCCATTACTGATTCGGTTCCCCCTTCAACCCAAATCCATTCTTTTTTCCTTTTTCCTTGAACCTAAATTCATTCAACCAACACAACTTCAACTGAAATTGACCCCAAAATCTCTCAGCTCAGCACCAATCTAACAAAAATTTCAAACAAGAAATTCAATCGGCCAATATCATTACTGTGCCTGATTGTCTAATGATTCCCTTGCCAAAGACGAATCAATTGTTTTTCCCTTGATGAAAACGAATCAGNGTTCAAAACTAAGCTTGACACATTTATACCTACGTAAAATTCTATAGTAGTATTTCAAATTTCAAATTGAACATTATTTGTGTTCATGAGCCTAGTTATTCAAATAAGTGATTGCTCGACTTGCTTATTAAAGGAGCCTTAGAAATAGAATTGGGCTTAAGCTCTACTAACTTTGGAGGTTGGTAACCAATTAAAAAAGAGAAATTTAGAAGATGATACAAAAATTTAGATTTAATTGAGTTAAACTATATTAAAAAAACTTATTTTGTCCTAAGTACATTTTTTTGAAAAACAATAATCATTCATTACTCTCTCACTCTCTCTTCCCTATTTTCTCTTTATCTCTCTCTTTCCATTACTTTCTTATCTATCCCTTATTTTCTGTCTATCTCTCTCTCACTGATAATTTATTTTTATTTTTTCAAATGTGTAAATATTTGATTCAATTTTTTCATCTCTCTCCCTTTATTTTCAATAACACAATTACACCAATTAGTTATAATTCCTCTACAATATATCAAACAGTTATATATGTATTACAATAAACTAAACAGTTACACCAAATAATTACAAAAAATTACAATACCAACTCAATTTGTCATTTAGCTGTTTACATAAACTAAAGAGTTACACTATTTATTATTATGACATGGGTTACACTAATTATGTATACTAAATTGAGTTTGTCATTACACAAAATAATTTATCATTACACTATAATTGGTGTAATCATGTCGTAAAACTAAATGATGTAATTCTTTAGTTTATCTAAACACCCGAATGACAAATTGTATTAGTGTTGTTATTTTGTGTAATTATTTGGTGTAATTGTTTGATTTATTAGAACACATAAGTAACTGTTTGGTATATTATGAGACAATTGTAACTGATTGATATAACTAATTATTGTAATTGTATTATTATTATGTTGATATAAAAAGAAAGAATAAGGAGAGAAAGTAATAGGGAGAGAAAATTGAGGGAGAGAGAGTGGGGGGAGAGAGAGGAAAAAAACNCGTTTCAAAGAAGATAGATGATTACTTATTGCTTGAAAGTCAACCTCAACTTCCTGCTGTTTCACTAACCAAAACTGACTTTCACTAACGCTTGATGGTGCGAACTAAACGAAAACTCTCGCTGTCTGCAGCACCTGTCGTGGGCTCTAGTTACTACTNCGTTTCAAAGAAGATAGATGATTACTTATTGCTTGAAAGTCAACCTCAACTTCCTGTTGTTTCACTAACCAAAACTGACTTTCACTAACGCTTGATGGTGCGAACTAAACGAAAACTCTCGCTACAGTCTGCAGCACCTGTCGTGGGCTCTAGTTACTATTGACCACTAACTTGTTTATTTGGTGGTAACTTTGCCGTTAGTTAAAGGAAATAGCCCAATTAAAATAAAGAAATAAACAATATTAAGAAATAAGAACCAAATGAGGTAAAGCAAATAGAAGAACCTACATGAAAAGAACACACTTGGCTTGGAAATGTGAATATTGACTGAATTCAAGAAAAAAATGTCATAGAAAAAGAATGTAGTTTTACCAGCTTAACATTTCTTCCTGAGGAAGATTTCGACTGTAGAAAGGAAACTCAAAGAGGAATGTTGTTTTGAACCATGACGGCAAGCTTCCATACACTTCAGGGGGCAGCAGAATCAAAGGACTGGAATATTTGACTTTGTCAACAATGCTTCTCTCTTCCACAATAATTTAGGAAAAAAATAAGCTCAAAATTTGACAAAATCTAACCTCGTCGTTCTTTTATAATGCCTATATCCTGCTACATTGCCAAACTTCTTATCCGCTGAATCCTGTTTCCACAAATGTTTTACAAATATGAGTGCAATTTCAGACGCATGATAGTGGTATGCATCATAAGAGTTAAAAAGCTATGAAATGTAAACCTCAAGCATTGGGACACCACTGAGAAAGAGAAGCAACAATGTAAGTAAAATTGGCCCAAAGACGACAAGCCACTCGGCACCTTCAAGCACAGGAGTTGAAGCCACAAAGATTCCCCACCAAAGAAAGATCTGGAAACAGCACAAGTCAAACTTCCTCGTGTTTTTTAAGAGAATGTAATCAAGAAAGGGTGTGTATTAAATGTTGCAAGATGAAGCAAGACTTCCTTTATATGAATGCATGAAATATAAAAGCAAAATTTCTATTACATGAATGCATAAAATATGCAAGAGTGTAAAAGTTACACGACAAGAATGAAGCCTATGTGTTTTGTGGACCAAAATGAACCCAAACTCGATAATGAAGAGGACACACCTCCCACTACTGCAGCAGCTGACATCCACCACTGGCACAAACAGCCATTACTGATTCGGTTCCCCCTTCAACCCAAATCCATTCTTTTTTCCTTTTTCCTTGAACCTAAATTCATTCAACCAACACAACTTCAACTGAAATTGACCCCAAAATCTCTCAGCTCAGCACCAATCTAACAAAAATTTCAAACAAGAAATTCAATCGGCCAATATCATTACTGTGCCTGATTGTCTAATGATTCCCTTGCCAAAGACGAATCAATTGTTTTTCCCTTGATGAAAACGAATCAGCACAATCTCTTGCCCATTTTGTGAATATTTGGCCGTGGGTGTGAGAGGGAAATACTTTAGGACCTAATGGTATATCTATTGAGGTTCAAAAGTGATTGAAGGATGTTGGGATATCATGGTTAACAAAATTGTTTGATAGAAATATATTGAATAAGAAGATGTTTGATGAGTGGAGGAACAATATTTTAGTCCCTATATATACGAATAAAGGGAGATATACAGAGTTGAACAAACTATCAATGTATTAAATTAGTGAGTTTTACAATGAAACTTTGCAATAGAGTGATCGGACAACAATTAAGGTTTCAAATTATAGCATCTGACAGTCAGTTTGGATTTATACCTAGAAAATCAACAATGAAAGCCATATACTTTGGAGACCGATAGAAACGAATGGCGAGAAAATTAAGAATCTTTCATATGATTTTTAAAGACTTAGAGAATGCATATGATAGGATTCCTAACTATATGCTATGGTAGGTTCTAGAAAAAAATTTGCTAATGTTAGGTATATTGATGTGATTAAGAATATGTACGGAAATATGGTGACTTTAGAGAAAACAATGGCAGGTGAGACTAATGAATTCCCATTCAGTATAGACTTACATTAGAGTTCTACTTTAAGTCCATATCTTTTTGTCTTAATCATGGATGAATTGACTGGACACATTCAAGATCAACTCCCCATCGTGTACGTCATTTGCTAATGATATAATATTAATTGATAAAAGTAAAGAAGGAATTAATAATTTAGAAATCTCAAGAGAGACTTTAGAATCAAAATGATTTAACTAAGTAAGACTAAAATTAAATATACCGAATGCAATTCTAGTAAATGAAGGAATCCAAACTGGGAAGTAAATCAAGACATATCAAAGAGTGAGTACTTTCGATGTATAAGATCAATTATCCACAGAGAGAAAGATTGGTGATGATGTTACTCATTGAAATAAGGCAGGATGGACTAAATGGAATAATACATCTGGTGTATTGTATGGTCGACACATCTCAGAAGCTGAAAGGAAAGTTTTATAAAATACTCATAACAACAACTATGCTTTTTTGGTACAGAGTGTTAGGCAACTAAAAAAATTGTCCAAGAATTTGAGTGTATCCAAATTGATAACACATTAAGATAGATGAGTGGTAAAACAAAAGTATAAAATTAGGAATGAAACTATTCATGAAAATATCGAGGTAGTACAAATAGCAGATAAACTAAAAGAGAATTGACTTCAGTAGTGGTTTGCACATATTTATAAAGGGCCTATTAGTGCACTGGGGAGGAAGAGTGATGTAATAACTATTGATGACAATTTAATGGGAAGGGGAAGACCAAAACTAACTTGAATGAAATAATAAACAAAAAAAAAAGCATGATAACTTATAATTTAACCAAAACTGTCACCCTAATAGAGCACAATGATAAAACAATATTTATGGAGCTGATCCCGAAAAATTTGGAACAAGGTTTGGTTGAATTAGTTGAGTAGGTGGTGGCAGGTGAGTTCGGGTGTGGGTTGTCTGCACAATCAGCGCAATCAATGGTGCTTTGTGGGTCATCTGGTGACAGCATAGTGAGAGTGATAATGGTGGTGGTGTGCGCACGGTGATGGTCTATTTGGGCGTTTGCTGCAGAAAGCAGGGACGATGGAGGGAAGGGGAAGAGAAGCAATAGATGAAAAGAAAAAGAAGTTGATGATAGATTGGTGCAGAGATAGGGACAACATTAAGAAGGAATTGTAAGGTATTTCGGCTTCTAATCATGTCATTTTTTTTTTGGAAAAGGCTTTTTCTCTAAGAAACATGGGAGTGAAGTGCAACTGGACCTAACCAAGTGGGTGCAAACTGAAGTTTTCCCTTTGAAAAGTACTTCAATTTGAGATGGAGATGTCACTTAGAGTGCATATCCAAGGGCAGTAACTTAATATTTGATCTATAATCACTTATCAATGAAGAACGTAATCACTAATCGATGAAAAACTTCGTGCAGCAACATTTCCTCCTAATACTGCAACTGAGAAAAAGCTAGCACTGACCTCACCAAAATAGTTTGGATGACGAGAGTATTTCCAGACTCCAACGTTGCACCATTTCCCCCTGTTTTCCAAGACGTTCTTGAATGCCAACTTTTGTTGGTCAGCTGTAGCTTCAACTAGAATACCCACAGACCACATAGCCCACCCAATTATGTCCTCAGCATGAAGAGATGGATATCTGTTGCTTGAATTAACAATTGTTACAGGTAAGCTTACAGTCCACACCCAGACAGCCTGCCACAAGTGAAAAATGATCTATTAGCAAGACCAAGTAAAATATACTAGCATAGTTTAACCACAATGAACCACTACAAGTCATATGTACCCCCAGCATAACCCGCTAAAAGTCAGATGTAACCAGCATAACCCACTAAAATTCAGATGTAACTGACAAAACCCTTTATCACTATGATATAATCAGCTCTACAGTTTAAAAAGAAGTTACTAAAACCTGAAGTAACCAGAATATTGCCAACTTTCCCAAATTGCTGCGCATTTCATCAAAGCGTCGATCTTCGCCCCACTGCAAAATCCTAGGAAGAAATGTTCAAAAATCAAGACCACAGCGGAGATAATCTTAGTGCAGTTTTTTTTTCTGAAAATATTGGTTGCATTTTCGCTTTTCACCAAGTAGAATTGGTTGCCATGGACCAAAATTTCGTTTTGGTGTATATTTTGGTAAGCTCGGAATTGGAAATGTGTCAAAAACACAATGGAACACAAGAAATATATTGGAATTTTGACTCCAAAACATCCAAGAACATTCCAAAACATGGGAATTTTGATTATCTATCATTACTTCATTTTTAATTTCACTGAAATCGAATGTTTCGGTTGTTTTGGTGGAAACAAAGCTAAGCTATGTTCCTTGATTGTCGCAAAGGTTATGTTAACGTTGAGAAAGAGAGAGAGAGAGAGAGAGAGACGTGAGAATGAGAAAGAGAAGAAGTTACTTTACCTTCCCTTTCACCTCATATATATATATATATGTATATATGTATGTAAATGAAACTAAAAGACTAACATACCCTTCTTGGTATATATTTATTACATTAGTGTCATTCTATATATTCTAACACTCCCCCTCAAACTGGTGAATATATATCATATAATCCCAGCTTGGAACAAATATCTCTTAATCGACGACTTAGTAAACATATCAGCAAGTTGATTCTCACATTGACAAAGGGTGTGACAATGTTTCCACACAACACTTTCTTTTGAATAAAATGACAATCAACTTCAATATACTTTGTTTGTTCATGAAACACGGGATTAGAAGCAATATGGACAACAACTTAATTATCACAAAACACTCAATTGGAGGCTTGACCGGAAACCCAATTTCCTTAATGAAGTGTTGCAGCCACTCATTACAAGTGTGAGACATTGCCCAAGACTCAGCTTCTGCACTACACTGTACCACCACTGTCTATTTTTAACTCTTCCATGTAACCAAATTACCTCCCAAAAAGGTACAATAGCATGTGATAGAGAGATCCTGCCAAATCAACATCTGTGAATCATTCCAACCTAAGATGCCTATAAGATCTATATAACAATCAAAGTCCA